GACAGGTACATAATAAAGCTTCATCACCATTGCTACGATTGGGCCTCAGCAGCAAATCCCTGGGGTTTAAAAAATCTGCATCACAGTCATCCAGTAGTGAAAGTGAGGATGAGAACAGAGACCAGAAAGCTAAAATCAGAGAAGATCAATCCTTTACATCAACAACCTCAGAGAAGTTCGTAAGGTTACACATAGCGCCTGGGATAAACATTCCTTACAATCCAAAGACAGACCACAACATCAAATTGGTAAAGTCTACTGATATTTCAGGTGACCTGGAGAACATGCCAACAAATGACACCAGCAGAACAACACTTGAGGTAGACCCAGAGCTTCAGTCAAGATGGGCCACAATGAATCTTGGCGTCTCCCGCTTCCGAAAGCGTCTCGAAATCTCATCCAATGCAACAGAATCCGATCTGATCTCCCCACCAGACTCTCCTTTCTCCTCCGGCAGTGAAAATGGTTCTTTGAGAAGACAAAGACTAAGGAGAAGGTTTGTTGGGATCCAAGAAACAACGCACCAAAGCTCGTCTCCAGGGCTGGAAAATTTTCAACTAAATGTGTCTCCTACTCCAAGGAGTCCAGAAGACAAGTTCACTTTCTCAGATATAGTTAAACAGAGAATAAATAAAAATCACAGTGATAAAGATTCAACTAGTCCGTCAAAGCAGAGCTCTAATTCCTCTTCTAGCAGTGACAGCGAGGATGAGACAAAAGATCACAGTGTCACTGACCTGAGTCGTGGTGTTCCACGCATCAAGAGACGTTACGATATCAAGACGCCATCTCCAGAGCCAAGTAATACCCCACCTTTTGTCATTCAGAATGAAGACTTGACAGAGCACAAAGCAGTGCACAGCACACAAGCATCAACTATCGTTGGACAAACAGATGAATCGCTTATCACTTATAAGCGATCTATTTTCAAATCCTTAACACTGCCAGGCAGTTCTTTCACACCGACTGGCAGTCGTCAAACTGTCGACCAAATACCTAATCTTTCAAAAGATGTGTCAAATGACAAGGACGTGTCTCTTGCCTCAAACGCCACAAAAAGTACAAGCTTTGATGACATCATAAAGAGGAGTCTGAGACAATCCAGATCCAAGACCGATGGGGACCTGATGGAGAAAATAAAATGGACTCGTGTTGGTCATGATTTGCCTGACCTTTCAAGATCCAAATCAGGAAACGTGGACGTAGCATCCAAAACCCTGCCCCAAGCTTCATTCACAGAGCTAACTTCTCCCTCATACGATTCTGCCAGTAGTACAACTGCCTTTAGCATATTGCAGCTCAGCAAGAAATCAGATGCAACACAAACACACAAATATTCATCACTTAGTCCTGAAGTCACACCCTCTCCCTCCGGTGATGTTCTCCATGTGCTTGGAAACTCATCCCAAAGGACACCTGAGATGCAGAGGGCTGCATTAGGGGGCAAGAGTGACAGGAAAGGCCTGAGTGCCCTAAAAGCCATGTCACGAGAGAGGAAAAGCTGGGAGTGGGATGAAAATACACATCTTGCATTCGATACACAAGACGGCACCGTCTCCAGTCACAGCCAGTCTGAAAAAGACAAAGTCTTGTCTCGACAATCTCAAATTCATTCTCCTTCTGCGAGTGAGTCGAAAAAAGGCATAGATTTGTTGCTGTTGTACGGTGTCCCCCACTTCAAGAGACATGGCACTGGGGACTCGTTGACGGAGGCTTCACTTCCTGATCCAGCTACACCTCGGCAAGATGACTGAAGAGGGCAAAGGTGGAGATCTCCTTAATAAAGAAAAGATCCTGCTGGTAGAAAAAGTAAAACATACGAGAAGGTCTGAAATCAGAAAAACTGGCAGCCAACTGGAGCTTTTTTTTTTTTTTTTAACATGTACATTATTTTTAAGTGTAAATTATTACAACCGTATAAGCTTTGAAATTACATGTAAATATTTGTGATTAGTAATTTTAGGAGCACCCTCAATTATGTTTAATGTTTGAAACATATTTTTGGTTGTCGCTTTTAAATGATCAAGACGCCTTCAAATCAAGTTCACTATGAGATCATTTATACTCCTACTTACATTAAAACAATTTCCTAAAGTTGTAGTAGAGCCTGAGTATTTGTAAAAAGGTGGACTGTAATCATAATGTCAGCTGTATTTTTTCCCCCCAAACATGTTATATAGTCAGAGAATCCAGGAATCAGCCAGTAAGTTAATAAACCTTTTTATTTGTGTATAGACATTGGTTATAGTGAAAACAAACATATAGACACTCATTGTTTACATACATATTTACAGTCGGGACAAGGCTGTTCATCCTCCTGCATTTTCATTGGAGAATACTAAAAGATTTATCTCTACACAGTATTTGGTAAGCAATGAAACGGTTAAATCCAGTTTTCGCTAATGGTGGAGATCCCTAACGGAATCGAATGTATGTGATCTAACAACTGATTTCTAAGTGCATCATGACAACTGCAGAAAAAAAAAATTATATATATATATATATATATATATATATATATATATATATATATTGCATGAACTTCAAAATAAAATAAGAGTCTTCACACCAGTTGCAGCCGTCTTATTACTCTTTACGTAACGATGCGTGGGGATGGGATAAATGCAGGAGGGAACTCCTGATCCACCATGAGGTTACAGGTGTGTTCCAGGTCGTAGTGGACACAATTGTGTGTATTTTTTTATTTTTTTTCATAGGAAAAATAAAACTAACATGACTGTGTTTGTCAAATTAAGCACAAAACACATGCACAAATAACTGTACAAAACAAAGCATGTCTGAAAAATGTTTTCAAAAAATCTCATCCATTCACAAAAGGCTCTGTCAGAGCATGCATGCAAATAGTAAATCTTCTGACGGTGCAGCATCACATCACAGTCAAAGACAAAAAAGATTTTATACATGTGTTACAAGAACGTTACACTAGGCGAACAGAACAGCATAGCATCATCACGCACTTTCAAATGGTCAGTGTCCACATTTATTTTATTTTTTTTCGTTCACGCCCTATGGGTGGTACAAAGAAATGCTTTGAGCAAACCTACCTCGCTAGCCTAAAGGACGCCGCGTCCTCAGAGAGGTCTCGGGTGTTCCACTGCAGCTGTAGTAACGCTGTCAGCGTTGGGAGGAATGCTACTCGTTAAACGGGAGACCAGAAACTATCAGTGTACCGAGGAAGACGAACAAATGCCAAATACCAAGACAAAAATGGACACCATCTGGCCCTATGTAACACAGCCTAAACAGTCTGAAATCGTCCTGAAAGGTTACCTGACTACTTGTGTGTCACTGCCTGCATGTCCTGAATGTACGGTGTCTTGCAAAAAACGTTGAGCACCCCTGATTTTTTTTTCCCCCACGGTTTGTCAAGTTCCAAACACTAAACATCGGTGCATTTTGATGGGAATTTTATTTTTTTTTGTGACAAACCACCACAAAGCAGTGGAACATGCTGAAGTGGAAGGAAAATTAAGTTGTTTTTTGTTTTGTTTTGTTTTTTATCCTAATTTGAGAGTTGTGTGGTGTGTTTGTATCAGGTCCTATTTACTCGGGGGGGTTTGGCGGAGGGTTACAGAAAACTCTATAAAGACCAAGGAACAGAGCAGACAGGCCACGGAGAAAGTAGTGAAGATGTTTAACTACAATGGACACAAGGTGGTGTATGCGTACCACTATTGCATATTAAATTATACTGGAAGCACTTTGCTGTTCTCTAGTGGCCACACTCATTCTAAATCATTTCCAATATAGCTCATTTACTAAATACCTACATTTGTACATCTGGTACATGCTATATTCAAATTAATATATTCTAATTAAAATAGTTTGAAAAAAACAACTTATTTTATTAAATAACAAATCCAGACAAGGATTTAAGGCAGAGTTGACATCCTTAGCTTGGAACATTGTTCAGAGTATTCATCTTATAATGCAAGATGATGTTGTCTGTAACAGATGATGTTTGTCTACCCAAACAAACATCATCTGGATAAGCAGAAGAAGGTGCAGAAAACTGAATGACTAATCTAAGACTCCACAAATCTGACCCTCAAGTACAGCATGAATGGCCAAAGGAAAAGCATTGAAGAAGTCATCAGAAGTGGGATTTACCATAAGATACAGTAAACTCAGGTCAGATGAGACCAAAATTTGACTTTCTAGCCAACAGGGAAAAAACCCTGTTATGGAAAACTGACACTGCATATGGCTCACTTCATCATCCCCAGCGTTATTTATGGTGGTGGCAGGATCATGCTGGAGTAATGCTGTTCTTTTCAGAAATGCAGTTGATAGGCAAACTACTAAATTAGCAAAACACAGCAAGAAAATCAGTTGGAGTCTGCAAAAAAAACTTCAAATTAACACAACTAGTAGACTTAAAGAACCAAAACAAACCAAAAAAATAATACATTACAACTATAATTGCTGTGAAAAGTAGTTGTAAGCAGGACTCATTCAGGGGGGTTGAATACAAATACATGGTCCAATTTTCAAATTTTTTTATGCATCATTTTCCTTCTGCTTCAGAACAAAGCACTACTTTGTGTCGGTCCACTACATGAAATCCCAACGAAATGCGTAGAAGTTTGTGTTTGTTTTCCAACAAACTTTGGGTGGAAAAAAAAGTAAGAGGTGTGAATACTTTTGAAAGGCACCGTAGAGTCATGTGTAGAAATGTTAGGGTTTGTTGGTATCTGTGCGGGACACACAATGCGACTTTCCATGTTTGAGGCACAGTAATACTCTTATCTACGCAGCGTAGAGACATAAACCGGTCGATAGACCAATGAATGCAGAGCAGAGCACTGGTGGCTCACGGTTGCACTGTAGTAAGAGTTGGTAAGCAGCAATGCTGATTCGTTTGGTGTTATGAGGTCTGAAGTCTTTGCATGGGGGGCTAGCAGAAAGTTATCAGCAAAACAGGAGGAGGGACAAAAGAGGGGAAAAAATGGAGGGAAAGAACAAACTGGCTTTTTTTTTTAATAGTAAACGGCGCAGGCATCAGAAACCTGCAGTCAACCCTTTGACACAGTGTGCTTTTTAGGAGAACTACTAAACTAAACAAACCCACAAACAATAGTTAGTGCCATCTGTCCCGAGGAGCTCAGGTCGAAGTTCATTGCACGGGTCTTTTAATACTCGAGTGTGCCTAGGGGGTTTCCGAGTGATCCCGGTTGAGAGTCGAACACAACCCGCGAATGGTCGCCCCTGTTGGTTTCCCTGCGCTGACTACGCCATTTTGTTTCCACCGTCAGCGTACGACAGATACCGTGTCATCCCAACACAGACAACAATATGAGACGTCACAGTGACAGAGAGCAACGCCACTCGGTGGGGTTCGGGAACAGGGGTCCAACCCACAATGCAACTTCCATAGGGAGCATAACTCTACAAGGACAGCGCTCCTCCGAACGGGGAGTTGGAGGACAGCAAAACCCCCAAACCACCCACTTACCCACCCGCCCACAGCCTGAACCCCTTCTTTTAACCAGGAGGCACCAACTGTCACTGCCTTACCGATTTTGTTGTGTTTTGCTTATTGGTTGTTTATGCTCAAGAGTAGTTGTGATCACAGTTAAACTTTTTTTTTCTTCCATTCACCCTCTCACCCCTCATCTGTAGCTATGACATCTGTCTTTCCTTGTACCATTCCACAAACTCATCCAGCAAAACAGGCCCTGACAAAAGGAAGAGACACAGAGTCATTACTACTGTAACAAATCAGTGGGATACCAGAGATGCACCGATCCGATATTAATATCTGTATCAACCCCAATATTGGATTTTTAAAAAAAATTTTTTAGATTGGTATCGGGCAGATCTATTCAGTCTAATTCTATGATTTTGCTCTGAGTGATGTCATGCTTTATTATTTATTTGACATTATATTCAGAATTCTTAGTTTTCAAAACAATTTTAAAGAAGGTTTGTAGCAGTTTATTTTAGTTTTTTAACATTGGTAGTCAACCGATTGTTTTTGTCAGTTTATTATTAATTTTACATCGACTGTTAATTAATTAAAGTTGTGTTGTTTTTACATGCGTGACCAAGATTATGACGCTATTGCCATATTTAAGCATGCTGTAATGGTGCAGTGTTATCAAATAAATGTGTAATTCAGTGCATTTATGTCTGTGTTTAAAAAAAAAAACGCTTTAGGGACTTTTGCTTTAGCATGATATTCTGAATCAGATCAGTTTTGCTGATACTAAATCTCATATCAGTATCAGAAGTGGAAAAAGAAAAAAAAAGGATTGGTGCATCTCTAAGTCATACATTTCCATTCAATCGGGTTTTGACTTACAGGCACCGTCTTCATCATAGTTACTAAGGTCCAGGTTGATTGTCCTGCTGAACTCTAAAACATTGCACCACTGGTCTTTGTTGATGACTTTGTACTTGGATTGCTAAGGAACAAAAGAAAAACCAAGTGCTTCAGATTAGATACGGTTCCGTGTGGCTACATACGTGTTAACGATATGCTCACCTCTAAAAACTGATTAAACACAGGAAACAGAGGCCATGTTTTCCCCAGGAGAAGCCCCAGCATGCACTTTGCTGTGTTCAAGTCCAGACTCCTCTGATCTTTTTCCTGTTCAATGAAAAAAACACCAAAAAATACTCATGTTAAAATTCAGGCAAAAATGGCATGAAACCTTTTTATTTTTTTTTTCCTTTTCTTCTTGTTTCTTTGAATTTTATGCGATACACCAAACCAAAGCTGAACGGCCTATTCTCAGCTCAGTATTAGACTTTCCTATTGAACTGACTCTGCCTAGTCACACATTTCCTCCCCCCAAAATATTCAAAACAAAATGCAGCTTCGAAAACTGAAATACTTTGCCACTATACTACCGGACACGCTATTGGCTGGAATTTGAACCCACAAGCCACATGATTGGCTGTTTATTGAGTCAATTACACTGTGATATAATCCATTTACTAATTAAGAAACGTCTCAAAACAAATGGCAGTGTTGTGTAACCATTTCTCACGTGGAGCTTTTCCAATCAGTTGAAATTAATTAAACCTCTGACTTCTCTCTCTCTCAACTTACTCGAGCGAAATCAAAGGCGTATCTGTAGATGAGCTTAAAACTGGTGCTGTCGCTCAGGACAGATCTCAGGTAGTCGAGCGAATTCCTCAGTCTCTCAGTGGAATCGCACCTTAAAAGAAATTAAAAAAAAAACAGTAGAAGTACCTCAGAGAGGTTCAATACTTAAAAACAGCTCTGCTGAATTGAACAGAATTTGAATAGAAAGAGATGGAAACATGGTGGCTGGCTTACTGCAGTGAGCCCATGCCTCTTAGCCACTCCTGAAGAGTGAAGTACCCCATACTCTGAGCATCCAGCTTCCAAGCCAGAACCAGCATCACCACCTGGGAATAAAATGTAAAAACGACAGTCGCATAAATTGTTAAACAGGAGCGATTCCTTTGGCAGGCTGTTACTGGACCTCAATGACCAACTCAATGGAAACTGACAGTACAGGCTGGGAGTTTCAGGAGGATTATCTGGAAGAACCAGAGATCACGCCCCAGGCAACAATAAAAAAAAAAAAATCTGCTTACATTCTCTGGCTCTACTCCAATGTCCTCGCAGAACTTCTCTATGCCCTCTGGACCCACGACGTCGTCACAACCTGGTTTAGATAAATGAGCAGCGTCAGTTCAGTTTTTAGAGCTGTGAACGCACAGCAGTGATGGATGGATGAATGGATGAAGGAAGCTATTTACCTGCATACTCATAGAACCACTCCAAACATCTTTTACTGGAAAACGTCTCCTCCTCCCGGATCTGCGACGTCTCATGTTTTCTGAAAATACTGCAGTTGAGGAGACAGTCAGCAGAACCATACACACAGTACAGCATGTGAAAGTGATGGTGTGGTTTAAGATATCCTTTATAAAAATCCCTACTGGTAAAACGGCAGAAATAGCCATCTTTATGCCCATTTCTACTTTATAAATCAGACAAATCAGGTTCTTAGCAACACCATCTTCCACATTTTGTAACAATACAGAAAAAAAACTTCAACACATTTCATTTGGAATTTACGTGACAGACCAACTGAGCAATTACAGGGTTTCTGTAGGTTTCAGCCATTCAAATTTAAGACGTTTCATGACCTTGTGAAGGCCACCTTGATTGAAACTTAAGACAGAAAAACTGCTAGTATGCTAGCAAATATATGCCACGCTAGTATATCCTAATATGTTAGCTAATATATGCCATGATAGTATATCCTAGTATGCTGGCTAATATACTACTATGCCCTTGGTAGCTAGGTAGCAATGTATGCTAGCTACTCTTACACACAGTACAGCGTGTGTGTAGACTCTCAGAGTGCAAGGGTAGCTAGCAAGGGTATATTAGTAGCTAGTTACTGGTAGCCTCAACCACTTTAAGTCACTGAACCTAATGAAAAGGTCTTAATGTGACATCAGTGTGCTGTGGTGGCGCAGGGGTTAAGCACAACCCACATATGGAGGCCTTAGTCCTCGATGCGGCTGTCGCAGGTTCGATTCCCGGCCTGGTGACCTTTGCCGCATGCCTTCCCGACTCTGTCATTATCCACTTTCCTGTCAATTCACTGTAAAATAAAGGCCACTAGAGCCAATAAAACCTTTAAATATATATCATCTAAAAACAATGTATTGTTTTCTCCTACTTCACAATTCAGAAGATCTTGTTCTTAAGATCTTACATTTAATATCTTACATGAGTCTTGCATTGGTTAATGCTTTTTGTTAATCACTTTGTAGAACTTTGAGATTTACATGTAAAGAGCGTTATAAATAAAATTTTATTATTATAGAATATTGATCCCAAAGGGGAAATTGGTTACTGTTGAGGATCTCCTCCTATCCAAAGTGTTAAATACAACATTTATAACACTAGTGTGAAATTACAAGTAATTTAAATATGATCCGAACACAAAATAAATTAAATAAAATGAAAAACAAGAAAATTTGCTACAAAATGTTTCCACAACAATGTGTTGGTTCATCAGAAAATCCCAAAAAAACACATTTTATTGTTTTACAAAAATAATAAAATATTTTTATTATATTCACTATATAGAGGTAATGCGGCACAATGGTTGTAATGCGGTTGTAATGCTGCACAATGTGGAATAGTTCAATTGATATGAATATTTTTGTAAAAGAAGAATACAGAAAGAAAAAAAAACTACTAGATCTTGAACAAAGGAATCTCCCACCTGTCTTGGCGACTTTTCTTGGCTGATAGGTCGTCTCCAGCAGAAGGTCTCCTCTTTTTTCTCGGCGGCATGGCTCTAGAGCAGCAAGCTGGGAAGGAAACAGAATTATTGTACGACAATCTGGACCACTGGCTGCCCTAGCAACGCCTCAGAAAGACGTGTAAAAAGCCTTAAAAACAAATGTACGCTTTACCATCAGCATCCCCTCACCCTAATTGGAAAACACTGAACCAGTGGAGAAAAGTCCCTCATTGGGACAGCACTGTTGCAACAAAAAAAAATAAAAATCACCGATATGTCTTCTTATTGGTGCTTCCAATACAGTATCTTACCACCAGAATATTCAGGAGCCCTGCTAGGAAAAAGCTTCTTACTATCCTACCATCACAAATGTAAACTTCAATTAGAAATGGGTGCTTTGGTCAAAGATTGGACTTTTCCGTACAAATAGACCAGACTACATATAGACTCTGGAGCTTGCAAGGCGTTACAGAACAAGTGCACCGGAGCTACTATTATTTACCTAAAGCTATGCAACAGCTTAGGTGTGACACCTTCGTGTGAACATGTGATTTACTGATGCTGCTACATTTCTTGCAGTCACTAGGCCCCACCTGGAGTTTAAAAGTGTTTGCATATTTTTGCACAGGCTTCTTAAACCCTCCAAGGTGAGTGCATGTGATAAAGCTCTGTTCCAAAACTTCCAGCCTTGTTAGAGTGGATGACAGCATGAACGCTGAAAACATTTTCAAGAAGAAATGCGATGGTCTTTGAAGGGAAACTGAAAATAGGTCACTGTGTTTCAGATTATCCCGTGTGGGTTTACCTGAGGGGTGGCTGTCCTGTCCAACGTCTTCGGTCAGATTCTGACAAAAGATAAAAAATAAAAAACATGTGGAAACGTGACTGATATGTTCAGTGACATGGAGATTCAAATAATAATAATAAGATGACAACAGATATTTACCAGCCGGTGTAAGGTGTGATGGATCTTGTGGATACTGGCCAGTGTCGTCAGATGGGAATTCAGCTGAAAATCTAGGTCCACAAGAGAACAGATGTAAAACAGTATATTCTAAATGTTCGTAACTGAGCAGGGGTACAGGTTGAGCGACATCATCGTAGCACAAACCAACTCTATGATCGTATTTTGGGACTATTTTTGGTTAGTAACCAACAGATCATGCGGATGGTCTCCAAATCGAGTTTTCATGTCCTAGAAAACTGTAGAGGAGGTCTCTCCCTCAACTCGGAACGTATTCGGCCATTTCAGCAACCCTGTCACAAAAATAATCGTAGCCGATTTCTGATTTAAAGCTGTCATCAAGTGGTGACTTACTTCTAGGGACCAAACTTTGGATAAAATAGCCAACGCGTGCAGACGAACGGAAAGCACTAGCTGCATACCTAAAATAGCAGTCCAGACAAGCAACTTGCACAGAGTTTACAAAGTATCCAGAGAGCTTTGGCCGTATGGGTGTTGTAGTTCTTCTTCTTGGAGGAGGCCATTAGGGGTTGCGACTCCGCTTGGGATGCGGAACTACAACTCCCAAGCCTTCCCGAAACAACTACTTCTCTCAGACCCCGTCTACCCCCCAACATTTTTCTCCCTGACTGAATACGCTTTACATTGATTAAAAAATGTATCGCTATATGGCTACTGGCAGGAGAGCACTGCGCAGACGTTTTGCAGCAGCTGATGCAGGTGACGCAAGGAGCGACAGCGGCGCTGCGGCAGGCAAACCAAAGATGTTTTAGACAACTGCGTCACAATTTTCATTCTCCCCAACAGTCCGCAGCTGGCCAGAAAATCGGCCGATTGACGGTGACATTACGTCGGTGTCAAGTTTGAGCCGAAACGAGCCCGGCAGGGAAACCAGGCACGACGAATAATAATTATGAAAAACACACCACAACTCACCGATAACCATCGAAAACAATCTGAACTCAAACAACGTCGGCGGGATTTGACCGAGCACTGAATGCACAACACGAAAAACCGACTGCAGACGACCATGAAGTGTCTTACTGAGCCTTCTGCAGGCTCAAAACAAGTGAAATTACAGTAGGCGTCCGTCCTTTGTTGTCGCCCCAGACAGTACTGCCAAATACAAAGAGGGCAGCAAATAACACGGGATTCACCAAACCTCACGGAGCCACGGGACAAAAGCGGATGTAGAAACCCCGCACGTCCGCTTCCTTCTCTCTGACACGCGACTCCCTAGCCGACAAACACCGCAAATTAATACCGAAAAGCCTCTGAAACGTTTCTACTTACTTGCCGCATCAGAGTGCATTTTTATGAAACATACAACTGTCTGTGGGAAGTCCGTAGACCGGCCAATAGGCGGGCCTTGCTAGCGTAAGTGACGCCCGCAGACGGTGGGTGCGTTCTCTTACAGTCAGCCGGTGGATTACCCGGACAAACCGGTGTGAGAGGAGATACCCTTTTGAATAAAGCAAATACTAGGTTTTGAGTTCAGATCCGTTAATGACACTTCGCACCCTAGTTGAGCATGGCTCCAGCTGCAAGTCAGAAATAATGGAACAAGCACAATATTTGGAATGTATTTATTATTTATCGCATCCAGACAGCATGTTCATATGAGATACAAAACATCAGATGGGCAAATAAATTATTTGCATCTGAAAGTTTGTTTGTGTTTCAAATGCAAGGCAACCATCTTGGATATTGAAAAATTCTGGGGTGTAATCAGAAGTCAGATTTTTCCCTTCTTCGACTTTCAAATCACCCAGAAAACAGCACTTGTACTTCAAACTCAGCTTTTTCAAGTTACCAGCTGTAATTACAAATGAGCCCCCAAAGTTGACATCCCAACATGGAAAGTCAGAATAATGCCAGTATGGCTTTCACAAATGTCACTTCTGACAACTTGTATCTGATTATCTCTCATGTTTGCTTGGAGTGTAGGTGTATAAAGAGGCTACCCAGGATGTGCCCTGAGATCCTGACTTATGATTCCGTTCAAATGGTGAACAGATATCACCGCTTGTCTCGCCGGTTGGCAAATGGTGCACACCCAATGACTGAAAGTCCGCTTTGCAGGCTCCGCCCCCTTGCTTGATAGCCATTGGCTGCTGTAAGTGACACTTCAAAAAAATACACCTTGAGTCCTCCCTCAAGTAAAATTGATTGGTCGGAGGTCGACGACCGGGGCCGCACTTTGAGCGTGTCAATCAACAAACCGTCCTCGTGCAAACCTAAAAACCAGCCCACGATGAAATGTGATTGGTTGTTCGAATATTAATTGACTTCACCAGATAAGCATGGAACGGGTTTGCTCAATATCGACACAGCAGGACGATGGAAAAAAAAGTGTCGGTATAGTCAGTACGTTTGCTTGTACTGTTAATCTTAACCCACTTCACCACAGACACCAAACATCCAGACTTCTGGTTTTTATACTTCTGTGTTCAAATTGTTTATGATTGTTTTGATTTCGCTGCTTTTTTGTTGTTATAAATTACCTAAGGATGGCAGTGTTGGAACAGTCACAAATACCAAGTTTTTCCACTCAATTATAATTTTCATTACACATAATGACGTTCTAAAATAAACACCAGGTAAATTTAGTTGACGTTTCATTAGCGTTTCATTAGCAATTATTATTATTTTCCTCGCTTTTCTTCTCTTCTTAAACCAAAATAAGTTTACAAGCTGATATTAGCTGGTTAACTGGTCAGACCACCCGTTCAGGTAGGAAACCTGCAGTGGTTTGCTTTACAGACGTACATGCAACTTGTAGCTTGCTAACATTTAGATGACTGTTATCCTAATGAGAGTGAGGTGTGGCACTAATAACCCACAGCTAGACTACTGCTGATAAAGATGTACTTCTCTACTTGAAAACCTGTGACTACTCTGTGTCTACAGGCAATTTCTTTACTAATTAAAATTGTGAAATTTGTATATATTACATATATATTGTCATACATAATTAGTGTTCATCTAGGTTAACTTTGTGTAATTTTGAACTATAGACAGTTAAGTTTATTTAAACTTGGTACTGTGTTTCAAAAAGATATATCTCATAAAGTGTATCTCCAGTTTTGACAGCACTAGGAGTAGAAATTTGCACTTTTTCTTATGTACTTCAGGGGAAAGTGCTACTTTTAACCTATAGCAGTTTTGTAACAACAAAAAAGGACAATATGAACATGAACAACAGTAGAGTTTTGTAGGTCTTCATTTTTTTTTTCTTTCTTTTATCGCCACATCAAAAGGCTCCTCCACCGGACCGCCAAGTGCATTATATACAAAAATTAATGACCTGGAGTCTTTCTGAAACATGGATAATAGTCATAGTAAGTTTTCTGTATAATAACTTGTTTTCTTAAGCTTAGACTAACATAATGATTAGATGATGATTGTAAGTCAAAAGTTTCCCATGTATTTATTTTTCAGTCTGCCTGGATATCGAGGTTTCAAAAAAAAAAAAAAAAAGATGTGTTACAGAAATCAGATTAGAGGCCAAGTTCAAACAAAGGTGCGGCTATCTGAATGAGTAGTTAAGACTCTAGGTAAAAGGTCATATTTAATTCAGCAATTTCATTGGTTGGAACGTCAGCATGTTGTGGCTTGTGCAATCCTGTTGCAAGACTATGTAGATGTTATAGCAACTTGGAACACCTGCCATACCCCTTCATGTTTTCACATTGTAAGCACGGTTCATTAGTAGGGAAAATGAAAACCGTAAACATGCTCGGACAGGATAAATGTACAAATGCATGCCACACTTTTAAGGTTTTGATTTCTAAAGAGTTTTAAAAATCATATCCGTTCATCATCCTTTTCCTCCCTCTTTTATGTACTTCGTATCCCTTTGGATAAAGTGTAAAGATCTGCGGCAGCATCCTTTTTTGTAAAGTTTGATTTATGTGGAGATCAGAGAATATTTCCAAATTAGCAGAAAAAAAAAACAACTCACATTTTAAGCATTTCCTTTTGTCTAGGCTCTGGTATATTCAATGTTAATAATGTGTTTTTCAAATTATTAATCATAAAGTCAAAAAAATGATGACTTTTGTATATGCTCTCTGATTGTGTGTGGACACAACATCTATTATAAAATAAACCTACGCTTTGTTTTGCCCTTTTAGTCTCATATTACAAATGACAACCCTACAGGTGTAGTACTACTATGTATTTTTCCTGATTAAAGTGATTTATACTGTAATTTCTTTAAATCACACTGAATTACCTGTACATGTGCAGTGTGTTGTCAGGATTTTTAAGGGGGGTGGAGTTTAAAAACTAGTCCAGGGAGGAGCCTCTCCACTTAGTTTATCTGAAAGCGGACAGCAGTGGAGAGGTCGTGTAGCACAGCTGGTAGTGCAACGAGTGAAGCCTCCTCCAAAATGAGTTCTGGAAGTGGAGAAACTACAACAGTGAAGACAGGAGAGACTCCTGCTGCTCCTGATTCAGCTCCAGCCAAACAGGGCTGGAAGGTGAGAGATAATCAAAAACATGACACCTATTACTGGAAGCCGCTGTGTGTTTATCTGATGCCTAACCTGTCCTGCGTGTGCGTCTCACAGTGTCCCCTGAGCGACGCTCACGTCCACCGGGAAGATGTGAGGAAGGTGTGGAAAGAGTGCCAAGAGGAAAGCTTCTGGTACAGAGGTAATCTCCTTTTAGAGATGAAGCACACGCCACGATCTTTCTGAAAATGAGAAATTCTCGCAACTTTTAAATTGTTAAAACAAGAAAACACTTCAATGTGTTCTTCCATGTGTAGAAGAAGTCACTTATTCACTGAAGAGTGTGTTTACATTCCTCTGTGGGTTTCAGAGCGAGAACCCCCCCCCCACCACCACCACCAAAAAAATAAAAAATAAACTACACAAAAGCAAAAAAATATCTTCCATATGTGAACATTTTCATTTTTAAAGTAGAATTCAGCTAAGTAGCACAGCCTGCATTGTCTTTGTTTCTGGCTACGGCTGGGCGACGATCGGCTGGGAGTGTCCAAGATGTCAATGATGACGTAGATCAAACTGATTTAAAGAAAAAAAAAATCAATCATGATTCTACAAGAGCGACAAAACAAAGAAATGATTTGTCAAAGTGACGGCTAAATTAAAGCAACCTGAGGTGTTTATGTCATGTATCAAAAGACAACAGCACCAAAGTTATCGAGATGGTGGATGAGAAATATCCTTTCCAATGTTGGCTGATTAGGACTCCAAAAAACAGAAAACGTTTTTGTTTTATGTGGCAACAGTTTTTAATCTTTATCCCTCCTCTTTCTCTCTCTCTCTCTGCATTCCTCCACTCCATGCTCCAGCTGCTTCTCCTCTTCCTTCACCATGAACTTGTGAAAACACGAACCGACAACAATCAGCACTTCCTCTATTTGTCCCTTTGACCTCCAAATAATCAGGAGTAGTCTCACCACCACTCCAGGGGTCAAAGTTTGGAAACGGGCAAAAGGCGATTGATTTACGCCAAGAAGGGAAAAAAAATAAAAAATAAAGTCTCTTGTTGCCACTGGATCTTGAAACTTGTTTTTGAGAAAGTCTCTGTCATGATGAACAGTCTGACGTTTTACTGCTAGTAATTAAGAGTGGGACATTATTTATGTTTTACTACAAATATTTATTCCCATTTATTAGAGATACACTAATCAGGTTTTCCGGGGGTTTTTAGATCCTTTCCTGTAAAGATTTAGGCTAATTCTGATTTTTTTATTTCTTTTCCAGAGATCGTTGCGTATATGTGCTGAAGACATCTAGACAGCTTCGAATTCCTTAGAAATTTAAAGAATTACAAATTCATACATGTTAAAGCGTGTGTACCTGATCTTCATTTGATTTTCAATAAACTGAAAAAATGCACCCAAAAACATGATAATGTTTTATGTATTTGCTAATAAAAAAAATGGTGGGAATTTTTGCTTTTTGGGTGATAAACCAGATTTAGTCATGGGAAAATGATCCAATTCCGATCTCTGGCCAAGTGATCAGTCCATCTCTATCATTTATCTGACAATGTATTGATTTTATTGGCGTCTTAATATCATTTATCCAATTTCCCCTTTCTTTCAGCTCTCCCCCTGTCTGTGGGCAGCATGGCTGTCACTGGTGGTCTCATCTACAATGGTAAACACTCCATTATTTCTCCAAAAACACCACAGACAATGTATTTCTCTGCTGAATTTCATTTTAACCGAATGCTTTTATTCCCATGCAGGTGTTTGGAAATCATCAGCAAGGTTTGGCCCTTTTCCAAAACTAGCAGGTCTGTTCTATTTCCTCTGCATATGGGGATTTTGTGAGTTATAATAATAATAATAATAATAATAATAAGTAAATAGTGAGTTTTATGTGATTCCTTTTTAGTTGCGGGGCTCCTCGGGTTTGCTGTGGGAAAGGCTTCGTATATTGGAACTTGTCGAAGCAAGTTCCAGGAGCTCGGTATTAAAGACGGCCCGGGATCTGGGCCCTGGTCCAGAAAAGGCCCGTGTGGTCCAGGACACAGGTGGGCACGGCGATGGCTTTTCAAATGTTTAATATCATCTCATTATTTTCAATATTTTACAGAGTTATTTGTCAAAATTTACATATATGTTTACATCTACATCCAAATTCTTCTTTTTCTGTTTTCACAAAAAGAAGGAAAGAGTTCGGAAATTTCAAACTGTATTTTATAGAATCTCATTTCAGTGCTGAATGGTCTGTCTGGATCAGGGTTGACCAGTCCAGTCACTTTAGATTTTGAACTAAGGATAATCAAAGAAGAAACATAATCTAAAACGAACTGTGAAACAGTTCTTAAGTATGGGACAAACGTTTGGGTCATCAGTTCTATCAGCCACCTGCACAACACAGAAAGGAACACAATCGTTATTAACTAAACATGCAGATAAGCATTATATAATTTTCTTATCTCAACAGGCACTGCCATCATGAGTGTGAAGAATGCAAGAAAAAACCTCAAGCTGCACCAGCAGAGCTAGCTTAAAGCTAAAGGTACACCGAGCTAATCTCAACAGTTCTACAAAAATGAGAGTAAGAAAAAACATTTTCAGCAACTTTTATGATTTTTTTTTGTTGTTGTTTGTTTCAATCCTTACCTTCATTCATTTTCGACAATGTGCTTTTGTTTTCTTTTGCATTGTCAGCCCCAGCATCACCACGGAAGGAAGCAGCTGCCTTTATTTACCTGTTGCAGGATGTCTGGATGTCAAGTGTGAATGTACTCCGTGGAAGCTTTCTAGTGTCCTGATGTTGTGTGTGTGTGTGTGTGTGTGTGTGTGTGTGCGTGCGTGCGTGTGGTTGTTTGTGTGTGTATGTGTGTGTCTGTGCGCGCGCGCGCGCGCGCGTGTTTTGTTTTGTTTTGTTTCTTCTCCATAAAATCCACTAGAGGGCGCAAGAAGACTTTCGGTCATTCTGTAGAAACGCAAATGTTTTTTTTTTTTAATCTGAGTAAATGCGACCTTGTAAACAAGAGTGCAAAGTCTCTTTTGTAGGTTTAATTATTATCAACATCCAAACAAACAGGAAACTTCCTATGATATAATCTGAGTTGGTAACATGTGCTCCCCAACGTTGCTGCTGAGCAAATGATAAAAACTTTGCCATTTTCATCTATGTACACTGAGGAGAAATGTGTCATTTTGCGGTGTTGAATCATCCTCCTGTTGCAACATTACAAAATTATGACTGTATTTGCTCTGTAGCAGAACATAAGGTGTGATTCTTTCCTTATAAGTACCATGCATCTGACGAGGATCTCTCTCCTCCACAGCAAAGTAGGCTTATGTTTGCAGTATTTTAAAATTAATTCA